GAATCCCATGTCTTTTTCGTCAACTTGATCTCGTGAAGAACCTCATTGCCTCCATTCTGTTGCGGTACCTATCTCAAATTCATAACACCTTCTCTGCTTAAGTAAGGCCATTTATTGCTCGTTGGGCAACTTCTCACCAAATTAGTCCTCGTGTAGTCTTCTACGCCTTGCTATGCACCTCTCAGTGGCCATCGCACATAATTTATCACCAAATGAGAAGATGACCTTGGCAATCCCTCCATTGTGGGTCACAGTGGATTAGGTCATTCATAGCCCATTTTGTTAGGTACCCACCATTATTTTCAACTTGCTCCAATAATATAAAAATGAAACAAAATATTAAGTACGCACAAAGATAAAGTTGACAAATCCCTCCCAAACACTTTTTCATCATGGATGTTCTAGGGTGGTTGAGGTGGATTCCCATGCCCACTGCATTTGGATGTCTGGAAGTTGTTGTGTATTAGTAGAGTAGTTCCTTCTTCTTGCTGTTATCCTCATGCTTCGTGTAAATGGGTAATCTGCAAATCGTCGAGACGACCTCGATAGTAGTGTTGCGGAGTCGTCACTGATTTAGGCATCCCTAATCTATGCATACGCATGATGAAGGTCTTTTACAAAATCCTTTTCCGAAATGTCCGCAACGGCATTCAGGGTCCACAGCACAGTGCTCTGCTGTTGGCCTAGGGCTACCTACCACACAACTTCTTCGTCAACCATGCCTTTCCCTTTATGGGTCGATTAGCTGCCATACTATATTGTAATATGATAGTGGTTTATCCCTCGGTATTGGTGAGGCACCACTTTTGTACTTTGAATTATCCCTCTTGTACCTCTCTGGATGGGCTGGCCTTCCGGGTCATGCCAGTAGCCCAGACACCTTCTCTACGCTGAATATATATTGTGCCTTCTTTAGTCTCCAGGGAGTTTTGGGACGCTACAGTACAACAGATGGAAAACAAGCTTTCTTAAACAATGCCAGTCCTTCAGAGTTCATGTAGGAATAGCATATTTTTCCCTCCACCATGTATAACCTTCGTTTTCCCTTTTGATTTTTTATTCAAAAGGTTATCTATAAGGTATTATTGGGTTAATTCATTAGTACCCATATTCTTGTCCTTACTTAGCATGCGCAAATACGATAAAGTAGGTGTACTTTTTATTGCGTAATTGTGGAATAATTATGCTTGTGTCTTAATATTTTCTTGAAAATTTTTTGTCAAGGAGAAGGTCCCACAGACATTTAGCAAAAATCGAGCTGTGGGAAATGAATAAGAGAGGGGAAAATGGCAAAGTATCATAAAGGCAACTGCTGCAGGGATGTGAGTATTTGGTTAAGTCGTTGGTTTCAAAAGTGCTGTGTATAGGGGCAATGAGTTACTTTCAGGTGTTGGTAGAGCGAGCGACGTCATTGATTTTCATGCTGATGTCTGTATTCTTCAATGCTTCAGTTTCCAGGGTTAGTAATGAAAAGTTTCATTGCAAAATTAACGCAATTTGACGCTTATTCTTGTCAACTCGGTTATGATAAGTCGCATTTTATTTCTTTACATTTGACTGTGATACACCCCCTCAATAGTAATACTAGCCAATAACTTTTACAGTGAGAGGTAAAAATCCAACTTTTGGTAGTATATCTTCTTCTGTTAGTGCAAAGACAAAGAAAGTTTATTCCTCTCCGCTGATCCACACTATTTCTCAAAAGTTCTTTCCACGCGGATATAAGGCCTTGGTAATTGCTAACCTCAAGATCGTAGGTGAAAAATTAATTTGTACATTTTGCTTTACGCTTAACTCTTGATCATACCGTCTTCACCGATTGCCTGTGTTGGTTTTCATTCAGTTTTTCGAATCCACTGCTAAAAACGGCTCAACAGGTAATAAATACTTACTCCAACATCTGTGACAGTACGGTGTAGCCAAAATCACTTAAGTGCCCTAATTTTGTGTTATGATTAGTGCGCTTATTAACATTGGTAGACGAAGTCACCACGAAAATTATTGCAGTAGACACTTGCACA